ATTTTCATTGCAAGTTTTTTAAACTCAACTCTGTTTAATTAAATTCTTAGAATAACTTTTATGTTCGTTTAACCCACTTTTTAAAACTTATTTTTTTACCAAGAATCACACCAAGGTTTAATAATAAGGTAATTTTGGGTGTTATTTATTTAATTTTTTGTAATTTCTACCTTGAAGAGGTAGTGGCCGTTGAACTTTCTTGTGTATTGTTAACGTTATCTACGCGACTATAACAATAATAATAGCCACTAAAAATAACACCTTGCGATTTCTCTTGGTTAAGATTAAAATGTGATTTTTATAAAAAAACTTGTATTAAAAAAAATTACAAATTAATAGCAACGCGACGTAATAAATCGCAAATCAAGAAGTGAAATGTAACGAAAGTTGAATGCTTAGCATGCAAATTATAGTTATTAGTCGACCAATTATTTCTTAACTACAACTAACGTTTGTGTTTTTGATTTAATTAATAATTCAATCCCGGTTAATTCTTAATTTAACTCATTTTGTGTAAATATTAAATAGATAAGGAGTTAGGATAATAATACATGATATTTTAGCAGTTCTTTATTTTTTCTTCATTAACATAATTTGCGATACCTAATTTTTGATTTTATTTCTTCTTAAATAATTTACAAGGTTGTTACCCTCTTGAACAGAATCGATAGCTAGGTACACCGGTTCATTTATCGACTTCTTACTATTACAATTGCAGTTTGTTCAACCGACTCACGGTAGCACATTAAATCTTGGGTTCGAATCAAAACCACTCTCATATTGTGTGTATGTATCGCCACATCTCTCTTCCTTCTCAATACGTATCGCAATCCGTGGAGATTCAAAACAATTCTTTTAAGAAAACAAATAAATAAGTATAATAGACAGGACATAAATNTTTTTTTTAATTTTTGCTTATTCTGACGTTAATTTTTAAAATTATTTGCACCATACATAATTTTGAAAATGAAGAAATAACTTTTACATCAAATTAAAGATAAAATTATGCTCTCCGAGATAACACATAGCAAATAATAAATTTATCAAAAATAAATAAATATAGGTTGTATAAACAAACAAAATCTAAGTTGCTCCAAATTTAAGTGTTTTTAAAAAATTTTAATGATGATGTAATGATGTTTCAGATTTTTTTCTGGTTAAGAAATAAATTTAGAACCGAAAATAAAGAATAAATTTTTATAATATTAGCTTCCGTTCTTAAGACATTTCCTTTTAAACTTAAAGATTTCGTCGATTTTTGCGAAATTTGCGCCTTTTGATGTAAATATCTCAAGAATGAAGGATGGTATCAAAAAATTTTATTCTTACTTTTCGATTTAGAAATCTTTTTTTTTTAAGATTATACTTGGCTATCAAAATTTTTTGAGTAAAGCAAACCATTGACTGGAAAAAACAATGATTACGAAATCAACACAATAAATAATCAGCGAGCAAAGGTATCTTTTAATATTTTATTATTTCTCAAAGATAACAGAACGGCAACAAACGAGTGAAATTAAAAATAGACTCAAACGAATTTATTCGATTATCTTGCAATAAACTAAATCAAATAAGAAAGTGATGCTACAAATTGATTCAAAACGAAAAAAAAAAAACCGAAAGAATGGGTTTATGCTGCAACAAACTAACAATTGATTCGAATTTGGTTTGTTAACACCGCGACGATAAGGATCTTTCATTTTTTAGATACGGCGATAAAATAACAATAATACTATGTTNAATCCGTGGAGATTCAAAACAATTCTTTTAAGAAAACAAATAAATAAGTATAATAGACAGGACATAAATATATTGATACGTTTTAGAAGCGTATAATTCGAATTTGATTTGTGGTCGGCTGGAGAACATGCCGGAAGCTTTTGTAGTTCAAATTACATAATAATTCAGTCATTGTAAACGATATCTCGAGGGGAATATGCGACAGCACACGACATAACTCACCTATCAAAATAAATTATGATAATTATAATGATAGGAATAAATAATAACGAGATGGTAACTTCCTCTCACCGCTACCGGGACACCAATCTTGATTTATATGGATATTCTTTTAAAATTTGCTTTTAAGTAAGATGCCAGAAAAAATCATGTTCTAATAACAAAATAAAAATGCACCTCGACCTTATTTTTGATTGAATAAGGTCATCATCAAAAATGAAACAAATTAGATACTCTTGACTTTATTTTTTAATTCGTTATGATATTTTCCAAAAATTTTGCTTATCAAACATAATTATTTCTATGCACTTTCTAAAAATAGATTCTTTTGGTTTTAATTTACAGTATAAATCATTTCGTAATTCTTCAAAATAAGGTAGAAGTGATTATTTTAAACTTTCATTATTTGTGACATAACCTAAATTAATAAGATTTCAAAAAATTTATGCATCAACCTCAATTATTTCCATACATGATCTAAAAATAAATTCTTTTAGCTTCAATTTGAGGTATAAATCGTTTCTTAATTCCTCAAAATAAGCTAAAGGTGATAATTTTAAGCTGACATTTTTCGTGAAATAAAAAAAAATCAATTTCAAAAAATTTTGAATATATAACATATATAGTTCTATGCGTTATCTTAAAATAGATTCTTTTAGCTTTAATTTAAGGTATGAATCATTTCCTAATTCCTCAAAATGAGGTTGAGATGATTATTTAAAATTTTTACTTTTTTTGTCAAAATCTAAATTAACAAGTTTTCATAACGAATTCGTTTTCAAGAAATTTTATGCATCAACCTCAATTATTTCCATGCATGATCTAAAAATAGATTCTTTTAGCTTCAATTTGAGGTTTAAATCGTTTCTTAATTCCTCAAAATAAAGTAAAGGTGATAATTTTAAGCTGTCATTTTACGTGAAACAAAAAAAAATCAATTTCAAAAAATTTTGAATATATAACATATATGGTTCTATGCGTTATCTTAAAATAGATTCTTTTAGCTTTAATTTAAGATATGAATCATTTCCTAACTCCTCAAAATGAGGTTGAGATGATTATTTAAAATTTTTACTTTTTTTGTCAAAATCGAAATTAACAAGTTTTCATAACGAATTCGTTTTCAAGAAATTTTATGCATCAACCTCAATTATTTCCATGCATGATCTAAAAATAGATTCTTTTAGCTTCAATTTGAGGTATAAATCGTTTCTTAATTCCTCAAAATAAAGTAAAGGTGATAATTTTAAGCTGTCATTTTTCGTGAAATAAAAAAAAATCAATTTCAAAAAATTTTGAATATATAACATATATGGTTCTATGCGTTATCTTAAAATAGATTCTTTTAGCTTTAATTTAAGGTATGAATCATTTCCTAACTCCTCAAAATAAGGTTGAGATGATTATTTAAAATTTTTACTTTTTTTGTCAAAATCCAAATTAACAAGTTTTCATAACGAATTCGTTTTCAAGAAATTTTATGCATCAACCTCAATTACTTCCATGCATGATCTAAAAATAGATTCTTTTAGCTTCAATTTGAGGTATAAATCGTTTCTTAATTCCTCAAAATAAAGTAAAGGTGATAATTTTAAGCTGTCATTTTTCGTGAAATAAAAAAAAATCAATTTCAAAAAATTTTGAATATATAACATATATAGTTCTATGCGTTATCTTAAAATAGATTCTTTTAGCTTTAATTTAAGGTATGAATCATTTCCTAACTCCTCAAAATAAGGTTGAGATGATTATTTAAAATTTTTACTTTTTTTGTCAAAGTCGAAATTAACAAGGTTTCATAACGAATTCGTTTTCAAGAAATTTTATGCATCAACCTCAATTATTTCAATGCATGATTTAAAAATAGATTCTTTTAGCTTCAATTTGAGGTATAAATCGTTTATTAATTCCTCAAAATAAGGTGGGTTCGATTTTTTTTTAATTTTTGCTTATTCTGACGTTAATTTTTAAAATTATTTGCACGATACATAATTTTGAAAATGAAGAAATAACTTTTACATCAAATTAAAGATAAAATTATGCTCTCCGAGATAACACATAGCAAATAATAAATTTATCAAAAATAAATAAATATAGGTTGTATAAACAAACAAAATCTAAGTTGCTCCAAATTTAAGTGTTTTTAAAAAATTTTAATGATGATGTAATGATGTTTCAGATTTTTTTCTGATTAAGAAATAAATTTAGAACCGAAAATAAAGAATAAATTTTTATAATATTAGCTTCCGTTCTTAAGACATTTCCTTTTAAACTTAAAGATTTCGTCGATTTTTGCGAAATTTGCGCCTTTTGATGTAAATATCTCAAGAATGAAGGATGGTATCAAAAAATTTTATTCTTACTTTTCGATTTAGAAATCTTTTTTTTTTAAGATTATACTTGGCTATCAAAATTTTTTGAGTAAAGCAAACCATTGACTGGAAAAAACAATGATTACGAAATCAACACAATAAATAATCAGCGAGCAAAGGTATCTTTTAATATTTTATTATTTCTCAAAGATAACAGAACGGCAACAAACGAGTGAAATTAAAAATAGACTCAAACGAATTTATTCGATTATCTTGCAATAAACTAAATCAAATAAGAAAGTGATGCTACAAATTGATTCAAAACGAAAAAAAAAAAAACCGAAAGAATGGGTTTATGCTGCAACAAACTAACAATTGATTCGAATTTGGTTTGTTAACACCGCGACGATAAGGATCTTTCATTTTTTAGATACGGCGATAAAATAACAATAATACTATGTTATCAGAATTGAGAGATATAGACGTTTTTAACTAAAAAAAATAAAAATAAAGTGTAAATTAAATAAGGTTTTATTTATTTATAAAATGTATTGTTGTTATTATTTATTTCTTCAATAAATTCTCTTTGGTTTTGAAATGTAATGTGATAAGTGGTTACGTAAAGTTCCGTCAAAACCGCAGATGTGTATGGTTAATTGTAAAGTTAGAAGGATATCAAATTATTTTTTTGTTATTAAATCTTTTTTAAGAAAAAAATTAATTTCGTACATTTACTCACTTGAGCTCATTAGGTATCATCCAGTATATTCAAAGACGAGTGGTGCCGCCTGGAGCATCACCCAAAACCATCCTAGAATCACGGTTTAACACAAAACATCCGGAACTAACACTCAAAATATAAATAAATATAAAGAGATTTCCCCACTTTAAAAAAAAAAACACTTTAATTTTTTTAATGAGAATTATTCGAACTTAATAACAACACTCATCGATCCTCTTAATCCAAATTAGTTTAGTTTATAATCCAAATCCAATTTGATAATCACTTTTTATGATATCCGGAAATGTTGATTTCGATTTGGACTTTCGAAATTTTGGTGAAAATGATTTTTGGTCACAATCCAATCGCGAATGATATTAATATTTCCGGTGCACATTGATTCGGAATCGTTTTAGGTACGAAATACGAATAGAGTGGGTCGCGTTCGCACGTTCGTTCGGTAGTAGTTTTAAATCGTAGAGTATTGGGGTACGGTAGTAGTAGTAGTACTTGGGTACCTCACCGTAGCGCTGTGGGCAACATTGTGGGCACCGGATCGGAGTCAGGTTCGGTCGTGCCCCGATCGTGGCGTACCCCAGCGGCTGGTGGTACTACGAATCCGTTCGAATCGGAGTTTCATGCGTGCGAGAGCACACATGACGATTACCACGACAACGACACGAGGAGAACGATGAGGATGAGGAGGAGGAGGATGTGGTAAAATGAAATCGGCGACACTTTTTAGACTTGCGCAACTTGTATACACATTTCTGTACACGGTAGCCGAGGTTTATCAATGTCGACGGATTCGAGAGATGTCGAAGTCGAGCCCCTCAAATCTCACTCGACAATGAGATCTACGAATATCTTAACTGATTGTGGACCAGACGTGAAGAGGATTAAATACTTTTTTTCGTTTTATCGACATATAGGATGTACTAAAAGTATTCCACTCAATAAATATGAATCGATTCTAACAATCATATTGTTAGAAGCGAATTTGCGCTTGTAAATGCAACAGGCGATGAGTCAAAAACTAAAAGAGATAGAAGGAAACCTTTGGAATCAAAATCATTCTGTGTTAACCCAGAAAACATTCCTGATTCATATTTATACTCCATCATATAAGTTTAGCAACTCAATTTAAGCTTAAAGAAAAAATGCAGCCATTTCACATTTTTTTAACAATACATTAAGATATAGATGCAAAATTAAAAGAGGTGGGAAAAGGTTGTTATTTAGAAAAATTATTACTACTAATAGGTTTTGAGTCAAAAACTAAAACAGATAGAAAGAAATTTTTCAAATACACATTATATTTCATTTTTCAAGTACACGATTATATTATAACCCATCGAATATATACTTCATAATTCTAATAATTTACTTCATTTGATACAATTTTTTGATACATTCTTTTAATATCATCTTGTTTTGTTTACACAGAAAATATTTACTTGCTTAAATCAGCTTGTTGTCATTCACGTTTAATACATTAATATAGGTATTTTCCTTTTTCTCTTTAATGTTGTATTCGCTTTTAATTTAACGAGGAAAAAACATATTCTTAATTATTTATTTGTTTCTCCTGAAATTCAGAAAAATTAGTAGTATACGTTTTGTTAATCAAATTATCCGAATATTTCGACTATTCGAATATTTAAATTTGCAAAATTCCGAGCCCTAAACCCAAACCCACTCTACAACTAAAAATTCTGTGATTTCACGTTTCTAGCAACATAACAGGTTATGAGTCAAAAACTAAAAGAGATAGAATGAAATTTTTCGAATGCAAAATATTCCCAATTAATCCAGAAAACGGTTTCAATTCACAATAATTATAACCCATTGAGTGCTTTTGCCAACTCAACCTAACCCAAACTGGACAAGTCTATAATTTAACGTTTCTAACAATATAACACATTATGAGTCAAAAACTAAAAGAGATAGAAAGGAACCTTTTGCATCAAAAACATTCCTTATTAATCCAGAAAACAGTTACAAATCACGATTATAACCCATTGAATGTTTTTGCCAACCCAACCCAACCCAAACTTGAAAAGTCTGTAATTTCACGTTTCTAACAACATAACAGGTTATAAATTAAAAACTAAAAGAGATCAAAAGAAATTTTATGAACCAAGAACATTCCTTATTAACCCAGAAAATAGTTACAAATCACGATTATAACCCATTGAGTGTTTTTGCCAACCCAATCCAACCCAAACTTGAAAAGTCTGTAATTTCACGTTTCTAACAACATAACAGGTTATAAATCAAAAACTAAAAGAGATAAAAGGAAATTTTATGAATCAAAAACATTCCTTATTAACACAGAAAATAGTTACAAATCACGATTATAACCCATTGAGTGTTTTTGCCAACCCAATCCAACCCAAACTTGAAAAGTCTGTAATTTCACGTTTCTAACAACATAACAGGTTATAAATCAAAAACTAAAATAGATAAAAGGAAATTTTATGAATCAAAAACATTCCTTATTAACACAGAAAATAGTTACAAATCACGATTATAACCCATTGAATGTTTACACCAACCCAATCCAACCCAAACTTGAAAAGTTTGTAATTTCACGTTTCTAACAAGATAACAGGTTATAAATCAAAAACTAAAAGAGATAAAAAGAAATTTTATGAATCAAAAACATTCCTTATTAACCCAGAAAACAGTTACAAATCACGATTATAACCCATTGAGTGTTTTCGCCAACCCAATCCAACCCAAACTTGAAAAGTCTGTAATTTCACGTTTCTGACAACATAACAGGTTATAAATCAAAAACTAAAAGAGATAAAAAGAAACTTTTTACATCAAAAACATTCTGTATTAACCCAGAAAATAGTTATAATTCAAGATTATAACCCATTGAGTGTTTTTGCCAACCCAATCCAAACTTGAAAAGTCTGTAATTTCACGTTTCTAACAACATAACAGGTTATAAATCAAAAACTAAAAGAGATAAAAAGAAATTTTATGAATCAAAAATGTCCCATATTAACCCAGAAAATAGTTACAAATCACGATTATAACCCATTGAGTGTTTTTGCCAACCCAATCCAACCCAAACTTGAAAAGTCTGTAATTTCACGTTTCTAACAACATAACAGGTTATAAATCAAAAACTAAAAGAGATAAAAGGAAATTTTATGAATCAAAAACATTCCTTATTAACACAGAAAATAGTTACAAATCACGATTATAACCCATTGAGTGTTTTTGCCAACCCAATCCAACCCAAACTTGACAAGTCTGTAATTTCACGTTTCTAACAACATAACAGGTTATAAATCAAAAACTAAAAGAGATAAAAGGAAATTTTATGAATCAAAAACATTCCTTATTAACACAGAAAATAGTTACAAATCACGATTATAACCCATTGAGTGTTTTTGCCAACCCAATCCAACCCAAACTTGACAAGTCTGTAATTTCACGTTTCTAACAACATAAGAGGTTATGAATCAAAAACTAAAAGAGATAGAAAGAAACTTTTTGCATCAAAATCATTCTGTATTAACCCAAAAAACAGTTATAATTCACGATTATAACCCATTGAGTGTTTTTGCCAACCCAATCCAACCCAAACTTGAAAAGTCTGTAATTTCACGTTTCTAACAATATAACAGGTTATAAATCAAAAACTAAAAGAGATAAAAAGAAACTGTTTGCATCAAAAACATTCTGTATTAACCCAGAAAACAGTTATAATTCACGATTATAACTCATTGAGTGTTGTCGCCAACCCAACCCAACCCAAACTTGAAAAGTCTGTAATTTCACGTTTCTGACAACATAACAGGTTATAAATCAAAAACTAAAAGAGATAAAAAGAAATTTTATGAATCAAAAACATTCCTTATTAACCCAGAAAACAGTTATAATTCACGATTATAACCCATTGAGTGTTGTCGCCAACCCAACCCAAACTTGAAAAGTCTGTAATTTTACGTTTCTAACAACGTTATGAATTTTTATGAGTCAAAAATTAAAAGAGATAGAAACTTTTCGAATCAAAAAAATTCCATGTTAATTCAGAAAATAGCTTTAGCACAGTATTACAACCTATGAAGTAATTTAGCGAACCCAACTCAACCCAATAACAAAAATTCTTCGTTTTCACGTTTCTACATTCTTCTAACATTGTAATAAGTTATAAATCGAAAATCAAAGGTGATGGAAAGATTTGTGTCACACGCATAATCCAACCCAAATATTAAAATTCTTAATAAATACAGCTAAAGCCAGATTTATATCCAAACTAGATGCAAGGGTGAAAGTTATCTGGCTATGTGGTTATCTTAAACTGTAAATAATAGACCTAATGTTACTTAATTGTGATGGGTTTTGATTTTGTTTAATAGAGCTAAGCTGTAATCATCGAGCATCTTTTAAATTCTTTCGTATTATTTAAAGTGAATGAAATTTTACTCATTTTATAGAAAAAATCAGATAATTTATGAACTAATTTATGAAATTTATTCCTTATTGTGACTTGTGGTTTTACAATGAGATAGTAGAATATCGTAAATCCTTGGTAATCCTTGGTAATATTTCTAATGTTAATTTATTGCAGGTTTGTTGCATCTTATGATATATTTTGGGAATTCCACTTATTCTTCATTTCACTTTTATTTATATTTAAAAACATATTTTGATTCATCTGAATTTTGACTCAATAGTAATTAATAGTACTTTAACTTTCAAATATTTTTATAACAAAAAACTTTAGTGTTATGAGATTTAGTTTAAAGCTCGCCAAAATGTCGCCAATAATTTAAAGTACCTGCGCCAGTAAAAATTTCTAGCAAAAACATATGGTCTCTCCTCTAATTTTATCTAAAGTTTGTATAAAATAGCAATATTAGATATATTATTAATTAAAAGCAATTTTCACCTTCTTATTTCATAATTAAATTATCATTTTTTGTAACAAACATTTGTTTATACAGACGATTATAATTGCTTCTTTTAATTAATGTTATTATTATTTTTAATTAGTGTTAATTAGCACAGTTTACATAAATGAATTACTAAAAGAGGCAATAATTAGTTTGTTATAAAATAATTCGTGTAATACTAAAATAAATACTTATTATTCATGTTGTATTGAAAATCACAAATTATTAAAACTCGAGAATTAAAAATGTTGGAGGAGAATGTTCTGGATGAAAATTGTTTATAAAACATCAAAGAAATATTATCCATAAACGTATGAAACAAATCAATTAGAACGAGGACACAAGAACGTTGAAACGGATTATGAAATTCCATTCTTAAACAATTTGTAGAAAAAAAATTGCAACAAACTCATGTGACAACTATTTTTCTTCGAATTAATCTAAACTAGAAATTGATGTTTCGGCATCAATAAAATAAACAGTTTATTGAAGACAAATAAAGAATTCCATGAATCGAATTTGAAAGTTTATGCAAAAATCATGGTTAAAATTAACATATTTAAAGGTGACACATTTACAATTTGAACTACAAACCAGATGTTTTGGGAACAATTATTATTTTTTTTTGCAAGACCCTCTTACCTAATAAAAAATAAATTATAAACGCGTTTAAACCTAACCCA